GCCTGGGGGCCGCCAAAACCTCCCGCATTTGCGCCACTGCCATCAAAGACCAAATCCTGTCTGTGGGGCAGCTCGTATTCAACATCGGCACAGCATTTGCCGGCAGCTCGGCCAAAGCGCTCCAAGCCCCGGCGGATGTGTCCAAGGTCGCCGAGTTGACAACGGCTTGGAAAGCCATCAAAAACAAGCCGTTGGTCAAAACGGCCATGCAAGTCTACGATGCTGCCAATCGAGGCAAAACCGGCTACCAGGCCATCGAAGAACTCGAGCAGGCCAACTCCACCACTGAAGACTACGTGCGTATCGCAGCCTCCATCGCGTCCATTTTGGACCCCACCGGCATCTCGGATGTCATTGCGGCCTACACGTACTCCACTTGCGACAAAGTTGCAGCCTAACTAACAAGCGAACATGCATGGGTAGCTTACTTGAGCTCCGTAGCAGAAGATTTTGAGCCCGCGCCTATGCACTACGTTGTGGATGCGAAACCTCTAGCATAAAGAGATCTAATAGTGAGGTGGTTGGATCCATGGTATGTGTTACCTAGCACTACATTGAGTGCAGGTCTGCTCAACGCTGCTACTAACATTTCAAGAGTAAGCAACACAGAGCAATACAAACGTTTAACAGTCTACGTCCAAGCACCCACACCAAGTGCATCGGTCTCGTGGTCGATGGCCGCCGTGGCTTCGCCCATTACGACGGTGCGTGTTTAGTGGAGCACCGACCGCGCCATGCACAACATCTGCCGCTCGCCCATGCGAAAGTACGCTACGTCTGTTTTGATGGAGCTTCCTACTTTCCCTCCCCGCTACCGATGCGGACGCCAGACGCACCTTTTACAATCACCTGCGCAAGTCGGCATCCATCAACTCGCCAAACGGATACAAGTATTTGCGCAGCGTGCCTTTAACGAGCACAGGGGTGTTCGGAATGATGGCGATGCTTGGTCCATTTCCCGCGCCAGTTAAATGTAAAACTGACCGATGTGTAGCAGTCGCAATGCGATGAGGCCCATATACAGAGTCATCCAAAACTTTGTGTCGAGGGCAAACAACGCGTTGGTAACCACCCCAAAGAGCCCCGACACACAAAACAGGATCGTCGTGTCCACCGTGTTCAAGTCGTTCGAGTAATAGCATCGTGAGTTTGTGGAATAGTCCCCTGGATGTGTGGAGTCCAGATGCGTACATCAATAATTTCCGGAGGATTGTCATGAATATCCTGGCCATCGCCAACGACGCGTACATGAAAATGTCCGCGTCGCTGTAGCACGCCCGGGCCAAACTGTTGCGGCCCTCCTGACTGCCAGAGAAGTTGACAAGTTCATGATCTACTTAATATCGTTGGGAAACAGGTTGGCGATATCGCCGGTGGCCTGTCACGAGGCTCTTGGAGCTCAGCACCAGTGATTTTGGAAAAGGAGGTACTGCTCGTGGACCCACGGCGTTCAACCATGGACGCAAATAATTTTTTGGCTATTACGGCCGCGCCTTTTGTCGGGCTAGTGGAGTTCGAGGGGTGCTCTGGTCCGACCGCGACGAATGCGTAACTAGTACAATTAGCAGGTAAACAAAACAATGTTTGAACGAGTAATTACCATTTTTCTAGCACCTATCGAAGCCGAAGAAATGTGGTACCAGCAAGTAATAAGTAATTTATTTGCCATCCAAAGCACCCAAGGCACGCATACCTTGCCAATTGTCGGCCATGTGTCGGGAACGACAGCCCAACGTTGCGCTAACGCGCAAAACCAAGTACACAGAGCATGAATTCGTCGAGGTACAACGGCTACGAAGTCCAAAACGAGAGGTGATATACCATCAACGTGGCAATGTTGCAACATATTCTACGGGCGCTAAGATGGGAGCATAAGATGGGAGCATGTTAGCCAGGTCGACGTACCTAGGTTTATGAAAGTACTAATACAACATCGCCGAAATTGAATGGGATTGCAACCTCACGACCGCTTTTCATAAGATTATCACATGCTTCGGGTGCCAGATTCTATCTATACCTACTTGAATTACTTTAAATACATCCATCTATTCCGTATCATTATCACCTCGCGTAGCGTCGTAGCGTCCTCCGCGTATATGGTTAATCGCCCTCTGCATACAACCGTGGTTGCTCATCGAGACCTGTTAGAGACGGGGTTTCATCACGGATTGCCTAGAAATGGCCATCCTTCAACAGTTCTACTAGTATACTAGTGCTAACGTAAGCTACTATTGTTCTGTTTGAACATATCTACGTAGCAACAACAACTGGTTGGACAGCAATTAAAGAATAAGAGTGCGCCACGGTAAAATTTGAGGTCTAGAAATGTAACCAACTATAATCGAGACTGGATACTACTTGGGTGACGGCCAATGAGATACTGTATTTCTTAAAAATTCCTGCTTGTTTGCCGTTACTATGTACCTGTTTTCGATGAGTACGCCTTGGTTTTGACTTATTTGAGGTCCGGTTACCAAAAAGGTAAACTTCATTCCAGAGCCTAAGTACACGGAGCACTAACTTTGTGACGATACATACAGTATACCAGTGCTGCAGCTCAAATGATAGCTTTCAATTGTCAGATCAAAGCTCACAGTGTCCTGTATGATATTTTTGCTCGTTTCACAGGACGGACTTTCGAGCTACGTACGGCCTCGTGTCCATTTCGAGTAATGGAACACACATGCATCTCATGTTATCAAGAGTTCGCACTATGACTACTGTGGAAATCATTGCTGAGAAACCGTTGTCGTGAGAGCTTGGCGCGTAGAATGAAAGCCGTAATGTGGCGCAACACGGAAATACTACCTCACTGCGACTAAGTGGATGCTATATAACGTTACGATGATGATTGCTGACGCTCAGAGTTTGCACTTCAAAGCTGTGGGTGGAACTCTGGACGACAGCAGAAATTTTGTACGACTTTGACCAAGATTCCAGCCAATCACAGTGCATTATTCATGATTTATCAGACTTTTCCACCAGTAACAAGCATACTGGTGTATACACCAAGTTGGACTTCGGCGGACTCTGATACCTAAACACCCAGGTCGACTGTTTTGAAGTCCAATCAATATTGGCCACTTTGGAGGGGATGTTCACCTTGGTCGACAGATCTTCAGCTCAATAACCCATATTGTCGATCGAACATTATACTACGTAGTAAGAGGGACTTCACCCGTCCTACATATATGCTTGACTCTACCGGTATGTCATTCAAGTCCATCATCGAGAGTTACAACTGGTAAGGGAAAACTCGGGGGGCCAACCTCTGGTGATTTCTGCATGCATTGGCAGGTGCATATAGTTCTACAACTCCAGGGCAGCACCAAAGAGGGACCCAGCGATATTACAGTATCATTTTTCGCAAGTGGGAAAATATCCACTGACTTTGGAGTGAATAAATGTGTCGACAAGACTCCCCGACCAAGGCCCCAAGGCTGGGACACCCCACCCATGTCAGGTACGACAAGCGTTCGGAACATCATCGCGACGTAAACTGGAGATCACGCGTTGTCCAACTGAAGACGTCACTTTGCCATTTACCTCGCCTTGACGTGATGGCCAACTTTCTTGCTTTCATCACCGTGTTCGCCGCCATGGTCAGCGCGACCGTGAACCAAACCGACGACCGCCAGCTCCAAACCACGGACGCATCGTTTTGCTGGAAGACATCGCAGACACGTGGCATTGGCCAAGTGCCGGTGTCGTGCGCCACCGGACAAGAGCGCCTGGGTCTGCTGTGCTACGACAAGTGTCCAGTGGGCACGACCCGCAAAGGTCTCGACTGCCACTCGAACTGCCCCGCTGGGTTCGCGGA